AGGGCTTCCAGGCAGAGAGAATAAATAAGAGGTGAAATTTAGGCTCAAGCAAAGAAGGAAAGAACGAGAGAAGATAGGAGAGAATGAGGAAGATGCCTGAGGTCAGAAGCCAGGCAGATGCTAGCCAGACAAGAGAAGCAGTGAATGTAGATATACAGAAGGAAAGAAAAGTAAAAGGCCCCAAGCCAAAGGTAATGTAGCTGGGAGTTTCTCTACCAACCACCAGTTCCTGAATAACATTCAGAGGCATAAATTAATTATAAATATTTGGCCAACAGATCAGGCTTTTACTAACTAGCCTTTACAAACTACATAGCTAAAAAAGTTTGGAGTCACCCAGAACAAATCTATAGGCTAGTTTTTGAACAATACAGTAAGAATTTGCTACACATACAAATGGTCACTATGTTAATACAAAGCCAGGCTGTAATGTGCTCCTTAGGTTCACCACGGAAGAAAATAGATATTAACTTAGCCCATGCTACGTAATAACTGCCAATCTACTCTAGTAATGCTATGCTTGTGTGTAATCTGAATCATCATCTTCAACTGCTACAGAAAAGCCCACAAGAAGACAGTTTGATTATTGATAAATCTCCAACAAACAAGACTAAGAAAGCATTTACCCTACATGAATATCACTTTCCCCCGTTTTCTGGGAAGTTCTTTACTGAAAATTGAACTTACATTAAGGGTACAAATAAAATAAGATAGTATCTAGAAAGGAGTTAAATTATCAAGACTTAATTCAAATATATTATAGATATAGATATTCAAATATAGAGAGAAATAAAATGAATATTCAAAGTAAGAACTGTATTATGGCTTGTTTTCAGTGTAGAGGGCATGTGCTCTACCACAGAACAACTAGAAAGCAACACTCAACAATGAATTAACTTCATTAAACTGTATATTTTATCACTATAGTAAGTAATTTTAATATACTCCTCTACTCTCATACCTAACAGTGCTTAAACCAACCACACTGTGAGGTAGAAGAGACAGATATTCCCAAACAAATACACCAAAGTTCAGGTTATAATTATCTGTCCAGGATAAATAACAATGCTTTGGAGAAGAGAAATTCTTGGAGCCAAACAAAAGCCAAGCAACAGTCTATATTGTGAAATATGTTTGACTGAAACATGAAATTATTATTTAAACAGTACTGAAACTGTCTAAAAGAATAAACAGTGGGGGGACACCAGAATTTACTCTAGTATCTCAACTAATGCTTTCAAGAGTACAGTTAGTTACTATCACAATTCAAGAGTACAGTTAGTTACCACCACAAATTCTAACTCAGCAAACCTATTAGTCAAAAATGGTAAAAAAAAAAAAAAAAGCACAACCAGTAATACAACCTTCTCTCATAACTGCACAGAGTATCATGAGACACTTGGAAAAACAACCACCAAGGAAGAACCATTATCAACAAACTGAAATGCTTAACTGAAAGAGGAGGAAAACTTAGTGTTCTCAACTGCTATAAAACTAAACTACAAAGAATTTCTAGAAAAATAAAGTAACAGACTGAAAGAAAAAGTCAATGAAATGTCCAAGAAAAAGTTTCTCTCCTCTTTCCTAGAAAAACATAGAAAAATAAAAGAATTTTTTAAACTTATCAAATTGATTTAGAGGCTCTAGGAAATAAGGGAATACACAAGGGGGAAAAAAAGACATAAAACACTATAGGAAGAAAGACAGGCCTAAACTTTCACATTCAAATCATTCACTAAACCTTTTAACACAATGAGCAAAAATGACAATGTGATTCACCCTCCATTAATTTCATAATTCCAAAGGAACAGAATCATCAACAGGTTCCAGAGAATAAAAATGAATTTCCTACAAAGAAACAATTCATGAGCACCACACCTTTCCTCAATAAAACTGGTTAGTAAAAGCAAAGAAATGTAACCTTCAAACTTCTGAATGAAAGCAAATTTACATGTGAATTATATACCCAGCTAAGGAATGTACCAGACATGAAAGTCAAAAAGACAGTTTTAAATATTATACTGACAAGCACCCATACACATTTCTCCTGAAAATACATAACAGCTCAGGAGACATTCTAGGAAAATGTAAAATGAATCCAAAACAAAAGAATAATGACATGAAATCCAAGGAAGCATGGAAACATGATAGAGAATTACACAGTATTAGCTAGCTTCTTAACCAGACAACAGTACATTAGTACTTCAAATATTATGGTTAAAAAGCTACACAACCAATGAATAAGGTGTATGTTCTTCAATCAGCAGGGGGAAAACAGGGTCATAAGAATGTTCGGGGAGGGGGGCGGTAAGCCAGGCATCGTGATCAATACCTATAATTCCAAACTTGGGAGACTGAGGCAGGAAGAAAATAAGTTAAATAAGTTGAAGGTCATCCTGGGATATATAGTCAGACCTTGTCTCAAAAGTCATAAAAGGAAAGAAAAACCGAAAACTTTAAAAAAAAACAATAATCATGATGTAAACTATAGAAAGACAAGATATTGACAACGGAGGAAATAAAATCCTTTTATCTTTAGGATACCCTCATGTCACAGCATTAAATAATCAAAATGTTGTTCGTTGCTTTTCAGAATCAACAAGTTTACTATAAACCTTGGCAAAATACAATAAATATTATAGGTAGCACAATCCATGAAGAGAATGTTATGAAATCAAGTCACAGTTTGAAAAAGCAAATTTAGAGATAATGTCCTCAAAGGTGATAGTCCAACATCTGAATTTTAGCCATAAGGACAAAGAATAAAAGAAGGAAAAGGTGAATAGGTCTTCAAAGTTAATTTTTTTCATTTTCATAACACAGACCAGATTATGTAAAAACAACTATTCAAAAATAAAATATTGTATATTATATTATAATTAGGATACTGATCAACAGCAGAATTAAAAATAAAGTCTACAATGACTCGCTCTAGGAGGAACCAGCTGAAAAGGTAAAGAATAGAAATATTTTTACATTTCATTTTATACCATTGAGTACTACTCACATTATGTTCAGATGGCTACAACTTCTCAATCAACATAAACATAGATACAGACAGACAGACAGACACAGAGTGTGTGTACTTCTCTGACCACTTTAGGAACAATAGAGTTGCTTGTGCACCATTTTCTTTGTTTTCTATTATATATTCTATGGACTAAATACCAATCTTCCATCATGGTATTTCAGAAAAGATTCAGTCAATTGATCAGACTCAAGGCCTTAGGCCTTAGACAAACAGGAATATAGAGATATCCATAGTAATTATCTCATTTGAGTCTTACAACAGTCTTACAAAAGCAGATTTTAGGAACTAATAAAGGAAAAATTTAAAGGCTTAAGTGACTTGCCATCTTCTTTTATCCCCTGAGCCCCCACAAAAAAGAAGTAATATAAGCTAGTTAAGAATACAAAAACCACATCACTGAAATCTGAGAATGTTTCCCAAATACATGGGAATAAAAGAAAAGAAAAACTTAGCATTAATGGACATTCACATTGGAAAACAAACGGTCAATTTTATCAATTTAAAAAAAGTGCTTACCATATAGCCCAAAATTTTATCCTAGGCTATTACCCAAGATAAATGGAAGTACATTATAAGAAGGCAAGTACTCAATGTTCCTAAAAACTTTATTTAAAATATTCAGAGACAGCTCAAATTTCTACTAAGTATTAAAAAGGCAAAGCCCAGTAGTGGTAACACATGCCTATATCCCAAGACTCAAGATGCCTAGACAGGAAGGTCATCAAATTGGATGAATAGCTGAGCTACATATTACCTTGAGTAGAAAGTGAGATTCTTTTTCAAAAAGAAATTAAAAATAAACAAATAAATGAATTATATTTCCAGAACTTAGAATTCTATTTCGTACATATACCACATGGATAAAGCCGAGAAGTATGTATAGGAAAGAAACCAGACAGAAAAGGCTGTGGATTTCATGAGTTCATTGAAATCTTAGAAAAGCATAATTATAGTAATAGACAGCACATTAATTGGTTGCCAAGGTTGACAGAGAATCACTAAACAGAAGAGGCAGAAAGAAACTTTTATAGTGATGGACATGTTCTGTATCAGGACTGTAGAGCTTGTTACATCACCACAAGCATTAGGCACAACTCATTAAAATGTTATACAACTTAATGAGACCTATTTTTAAATCTCATAATGCATGCAGCTTTTTAGCATAGGTATTAAACAATGACCTTCAAAAAATTTGAAAATTCGTGTTTAAAAGGTAACTTTCAGTTAGCAAAAGCATCCCTCATCCTAGTCAATGGGTCATACAGGTAGACAGATACAGTGGCTGAGAGACAGGCTTAAAGTCTAGATCTAATAAACACAGAGATCATAAAAGGTGATGATTACTCAGACTATAAACTAAGTTTTACAACAGAATTATTTAATAATAAAAATAATGAATTTAGCTAAGGAAAATACATAGTAAAAATAGATAATGTAAACAAAAAATATCAAATTAAACACATAAAGAAAATCACTGTCCACATTTGTACTTTTATATCAGAGTTTTAACTTACCTAATTTATGGGGACTGTTTAGTACAACAAGGTATAGATTAAGCTTCCCCCCTTATACATTAAGCCTTTCTGCTACCATACAAATCAACTCAATATAGTATTTTTATCTAAGTATTCATACATTATGAAATAGACACAAGAGTCCTTTTCTATATGTTAAATAATTCTGTTAAGTCTGTAGAATCTGAAGACACAACAGAAAAATACATTACTAACATACATGCATACAAAATCTAGTATCATAATTACAAATTATAAAAACCAAGATTTAGAAGGAAACCCCTAATAAGCAAATTCCTAACCTACATGTTGAGCATATTTCTGTCTTATTAGACAGTAAACAGGGTTTACTCCAGCAGCACCAGGGTAGAGACCAACACTCAGCACATCACTCATAGTTCAACACTTCCCCAACCATACTGTTTGCAGCTTTGCTAAGTAAGCACTTAACTTACCCCTCTTCTGAACCCAACCTTCTTTCACAATGGTAACATCGCTCATGATGGCTCCCCTCTGAACCCCCAACTTGGAGAAATGATGCTTTGCAGGGTCAGTTTTAGAACTTGGATTCCTTGCTGCTGCTGCTGCTGCTGCTGCTGCTGCTGCTGCTGCTGCTGCTGCTGCTGCTGCTGCCCTTCCCACTCTCTAGTGATGACTCAGCCTGGAAGGAAGTATTGAAGAAAGAATTTCTTTTTTTTTTCCATTCTTGAACTCACATAGCAATAACAAACAACTAAGTCTTTGTAAATGTCTTCAATTGGCCTCACTTCACATAAAGTCTAACTCCTCAAAGATGGGTGGCGGGGAGGGGGGCGGGGGCGCTTATTTATTAAATAGTTCTACAATGAATGCATTGCTCTGGTTTTGTGACAAATGTTAAATGATAGTGAAACATTTAACCTAAGAGGCTGAAATAAAATGTCCTAACAAAACCATTGTTAAACCTCCACAAATAAACAGAAAGCATTTTTTTTTTGGAATGTATACTTGAGATGATGGGAGAAAGAATGAAGTTAAGTGGCTCGAATGCCTTTAATTTCAGAAGTTATGTCAATGTATTCTTAATTGCTGTACTTCAAGTAATATACAGAGTGCCAAGGAAACAACATTTACATAATCAGACTTGCTCTAAAACTTTTTTTTAGGTAGATTATACTAAATACACAACATTAAGTAATTTTTTGGTAGATAAAGAAAGTGAAACAAAGGAAATATGAGGTAGGAAAGATGCCAAGAACTGTTCATCTTCATAATCTGACAATCTTCACAACTCTGGGAGGCACCTTCACTTCATGTCACAGAACTGAGAAACCGAGGCTCATAGAGAATAGGTAAGTTGCTAGATTTCAAGGTAGTAAATTGTAGAGCTAAAATCTGAATTCAGAGTGCCTGACTCCAAAGTCTGCTCTCTTCATTTCAAAACTCTACATGTGAAAGGTGAGCCAAATTTTTGGAATGAAATGTTTTAGGAAACTTGAAAATTCAAAAACATGATAGATTTCAGTATTAACAGTATCTGTAGTATTAAAAAAAAAAGTTGCTCAGAAGAAATATAGTGTTTCCTAAGACAAACACTAGAAATGTATCCCCTAGATCTTTATATAAGTTAGAGTAAAAAGGCTTCCTTACATATATAGTAATAAGCTTAATGAACTATTTGTTGTTGTCCCTACCAAAGTAGAAGGGAAACTCTGCAAAAGTGCTTCTACATTTGCAAAACTATAGAACAGATACACTGGTGTTAAGTGGCTTAGGACAAACAGCAAGAACTTTAGGTAACCAGGGGAAAAAATGGGTACATAGAGTAACTGTACCCATTGGATACAGTTGGGTTTTCATAAATAGTGCACAGGTTGTATTTCCAGCTAATACTCAACTAGGTTACAAGTCTTCCTCTAACACAAATTATATGCAAAGCCTAGCTTTTATCAGTGATCAAAACTAAACATCCTCTGAACAACCTGACAAAGGCCAACTAGTTCAACAGAAGACTACCCTGCCATGGTTGTACAAATATGTCACGAGAAATACATACAGGAAGGGGCAGGACTACTCAAAATCCTAATCATGGAGACCTGTTGCTGCAGAATACAGAGACGCTGTTATGGCTGTCTGGAAGAACATTAAACTAAAAGAAATTTGAGAAAATAAATCCTTTGTTCAAGTAAGTTTGAGGAAATTTTATAATTTTGTCCTTCAGAAACATCTCTACTAACATTAACTATCCTAAAGTAAGATATAATTTACCACCAGCAATTCCCACATTGAATACTGCTAAGGAGAAAAGTCACATTATTTAAAATGATACCCACTTCATGTTAAAAACACAACAAAAACATAAAAACCATAAAGTACAGCATTCAAACATCATTTTATTTTGATTGGCATCGTATCCTCAAGAACCCAACTAACTACATATTACAATGAGATAAATCAAAGGGTTAACAACACTGTATATTGCATAAAGAATTTTAAGTTAAATGCTGGAACAGACTAGTGCAAAATGATATCATCATCATAGCTGCACTAAGCTCTTCTCACTGGTACCACTTAGACAAATGAGCTCCATCTCTACTAAGATTTTTTTGGTTTTTTCTCACTATAAAACTATATAATCTGAACAAAAGAGAATGTATATCATTTTGGAAATAAAAGTAGAATAACATCCAAGAGATCTTTCCATCTAAAGTAAATTGTGTTGGAATAGCCTTACGAAAAACACTAAGAAGACAGAGGTCTTCCTGAAATAGAACCAGATCAACCCAAGTCAATTAATAGTATTTTACAATGGACCTGTTCTGAAAACTAGTTTCTTGGATTGAGAGAGAACAAGAGAATAATCAATGTGTATATATTAAGACTGAACTTACAAAATGTACATTATATTAAAACAACAAGATTTACAAACTTTATCAGGCCACTGAACCTTATTATTAGAGGTGGTCTCACTCACTGTATCTTAAACAGTTACCAAATTTTAAAACTTTCGGCTTTAAAAACTGTTCTTGTATGTAATGGCTAAAATGGTACCATCTTTAAACATAATGTTTGAAATGCAACCATTAGATTAGCAGAAAACACTGTCTTTTTTATATGTGAAAGCAATGCTATTGGCTCCTAAGCGGTCAGCACTCTCTGGTTAGATTCCCTGCGTGGCAATATTGCTGCTCCAGTCACCTACAGTCTCCATCAACATCTGCATCTAACAGCGATACTAGGCGACCAGACGAGCTACAACTCTGCCACAACTCTGTCATGTTTCCAATGGCGAAGCAAATTTCACCCTCCTTTCATAGTAACTTCTGTAGGAATATGTTCTCTCCAGTGAGTTAACATAAAAATTTGGTTTACTCTTTATTGAATTAAATATTTTATTGCTAGATAATCTAATTTTTATCATTCTTATAAAAAGTCACACACAAAATTCATAGTGGATTCAATAGTAAAGATATTTTCATTCATGATTCACTCTTAGAGAATATGGTAATAACTTCATTTGAATATGTACAAAACATTTCCCATCTTTAATTCTATTGAATCACAATATAAATTATTAAAGCAATTTGACTGTGCCTGGCACTTATTCAACAAATACAGAATTAGTGAATAAGTAGATGAATGAACAAAGATGTAACAGCTTTAGATAATAAAGAAGCTATGCAAACAAGTTTAGTAAGTCAACAGCAAAAATGGCATAGTGCCATTTTTAAAACAAAACTAAGTTTAAACATCATGGAAGTATTTATTTATAAACAATTAAAATTCCTGGATGTTAAATCATTTTCCTATGGCCTACCATAAAGTACAAGGTGAGATTACATTAAAACTACCCTATTTTTTCTTGACATTTTAAATAACTTTTTGATGAGACCATCAATTTTCAACTCCAAATAAAAGAAATCTCAATGTTACCCACAATTATTCATTATGGGAAGAAAAAGGAGACAAGTATTTTCTTACTGATCCTTTAAAGAATTTTTTCAAAAGACTTCAGCAATCAATCATGCAATTTAAAGCAATAATATCAAAAATGTTTTAGAATATCAGTCACTCAAAAATGTGAAGTATACCAATACTTAATCAATAAATTATATAAGTATGATTTGTATTATATAAATATTATATAAATATATATATGTATCTTCTGACTACTCTATGTCAAGAACTAAAAAAGTATCTTAAGTCTTTCCCAAGACTATTATTATTTGTTACCCAAGATCTTTCATTTATATCACTTCATTTGACTCTGAATTGTGAACCTAAGAAAATTGGGGTCAAAAACAATGACAGTATTCACCAGTTAACCACCCATGGGGACAATCAATAAAAGTAATAACACACAATTAAAGTCTCCCATCAGTTTCATATGCTTTATGCAAAAATAACAAAGTATGAGCTCTTAAATGTAATTATCAAAATGCTTTAAAGTAAATCAAAAAAATAAAACTAAAAAGTATTAACAAAACTATCAAAACTGAAATAACATAAAAGTAAACATGTTGAAAAGCACCCTGTAATTTTTTTTGTATGTTAATAATTTCCTGTATGTTAACTATCTCTTTTTTGGGTGGGGTCTCTAAGACCTGTAGGCCAGACTATCCTAGAACTCACTATGTATCCCAAAATGTCCTTGAACCTGACTGAAACCTCCAAGCACTGGATTACAGTCATGACCCACCAATACCTGGCCTCCTATATATTTATTTCTAAATTAAAATCCAAAATAACTTTCTTTAAACTACAGTTGATCTTTGGCTGTAAGGTTCTATGCTATCAATTTGTAGATTTTATTTATAATAGACAAACTGAATTAATAAAGGAAACTAATTCAAACACAATTGATATTTAAAACATGAATGAAGAGCAAGAGGAACTACTCTAGATTCTATAGTAGTTTCAGATTTCAGTAACTGTATTCTAAGGAAAAACTAAGCCAGAATGGTAGCACATGACTGCAATCCCAGCTACTCTGGAGGCTGAGGCAGGGAATCACAAGCTTGAGGTCGGTCTGGTCAGTACAGTAAGTTCAAGGTTAGTCTGAGCCACCTGGTGAGACCATGGCTCAAAATAAAATCAGTAAAAGGGAGGAGCTGTGAAAGGTAGTATAACATACAAGATCCTGGTCTTAACTCCCACTTCCCCCCCAAAAAACCAGAAAACTAATTTATATGTCAGGACAAATCCACAAGGCTGTATCAAGCTTTCAAAAGGATATGTAGGAAAGTAAACACACAGACGTTCTAGACAATTTGCCTTATATTTCCAATAACTCTAAGGTAATCTGTTCCTACCTGGAGTTGTTACCCATTAACAATCCCTCTCTTCAGAATACAGTAATAACTGGAAATTTTTTCCTGAAATCTGGAACTTTTAGACAAATTGTCAGATCTTTCAAATTACTAATTCCTAAAAGCCAACTTTATAAACTTAAAAATATATCCACAAAAACACAAAGCACTTTCCCCTTTTTCTCTGTTTGGGACATCAATGTACAATCTCAACCAACATATCCATTATTAAAAGCTTGTGCTACGTTATATACCTAATATTCTGATTTAAAACACTGAGGATATGCTTATCCTCTGCTTCACCTAAACCAATAAACAAGCTATTAATGAAGCAGTCCCTTCGCTTCTAAGGTAAAATGCTGCTTATCTGTATATGAAGGCACCTATGACAATAGGCTGAGGACTGCCACTAAAGAATGCTGGCTCAGCTGGCCATTTAATACATATAAAACTCTAAAATCTGCCTTAGGTGCCTCTCAAACTATAAAATGAAAATACTTAATATACACACACATAAAATCTACCTATAGTTCATTAAATGCCAAGAATTACCGGCAGATACCCCCCCCAGGGATTAGAATCAGTTCATCTCAAAGTTTCCTTTAGAAAGAGCACCAGACAGACCAAAAAACCTAAATAACTGTTCCCAACCCTGCCTTGCTGAGAGTGGTGGGTGCTAATAATGTCCCTTTAATTCTCTGTACTTCCATCTCCTTAGATGCAAAGAAAATGTAACATTAGATGCTTGACAGTTCTTTCAAAGCTAATATTTTAAGATACTTCACATTGAAATCTACAATTGACTTACTTCATACAGAAGTGGTATTGTAGATGGCAATGATCATTATGTACAGCTCCTATCCTCATAATATACAGTTAATACACAACATCAAGAAGCTATTCAGAACAAATCTGGGCTAACCTCCATTACTGGCTAAATTCTATCTTCCTTTCCAAATACCCCAGACATCCAGTTATAGTCAGGGGCTTTCTTAATATAGAAGAAAGAAATTCTCATCTGAATATATTTTGTTTTCTTTTAGGAAACCTTTTTATTTTCCCTTCAGAATATAAGAAAAATTACTCATTTAGAAATGTAAAATACCTTAAAAGGGCAATAATCTTTAAGTAAACATATTTAAATAGTTGTTATAAAACACATTTATAAGTCAAAAACAAAATTATTTATTCACCAACTGCTATATGAAGATTTCCTTGCAGAAGAAATAAATGTACCTCTAACTGGATGAAGTACACTAAAATGTGTAAAGAGCTGAGGTATTTATTTTGGAATTTGAAACCATTAAAATGAAAGAAATGTTAGCAGCTTAATCAATGCAGCTTTTAAACCTATATTAACTTGATCCTGTGGAACTTATTACAGTATAGATTATAATATATTATAATATATATTCAAAACTTAGCAATATCATTGTGAACTCTAAGAATGAGTACAAAGAAAGTGTTTCAGAACAGGAAATGTTAAATGAAATGATTTTTATGCTATATAGAGTGTTTTCAAAAGTACACCACGATTGTTCTGAAGGTTAGATGAATTACAATATGTAAAGCACACATAGCAACATCTGGCGCATGGCAAGTGCTCAAAGGGTAATGGCTAGAATCAACTGGAAACTGAAGCTAACTCTATCAGATGTTAAAGGCTGTAACACATCTGTTAATATTAGCCTGCCTTTGCAAAAGAATATGCTGCACTAAACCAAGATTAAGAATACAGATGATGCTGAAATATGGAGCTCAACAGCAACTTTTAAATTACTAAAAGATTGTAACACAAACCTTCCATCAAAAATATTTGCATTATTCAGAGTAACCTGAAAATGCAGTCAAATTACAAAATCAGCCAAAGAAAATGATTTTTCATCTTGCATTTTATTGTACAAATTTTAAATGATCCCAAATTGGGTCTTCTTCTTTATACTACAAACATAATCACTATAAAGTCAAGATCTTACTAAACCATGATTTAGATTCAATTAACAAATTAACAGGAATCACCTTTTCATCCCAGGGACAAATTCTTGAACTTTTAGACATTACAAAGTAAAGTATAACTAGTTATCTCTTCATAAAAATATGCAGCTCTAAAAAAAATGTATGAGGCAAGTTCCTCTTTAGAAAAAAAGCCTAAAAACATTTAGAAACTTTCATGTTAAAATCAAAACCTGGAGTTTAAAACTCTTAAACCCCTACACCGAAATCCATACTAACATTTGTTCCTGAAGTTTAACCAAAAGACTTTACATGTACAGTGATTCTACAAAACAAACTTTCATAACATGGTCTTCTGAATGAAGGGCTAAAACCTTACCCCTCTCCAAAGTACACTCATCTTAATATTTGTCCAGTAAACTGAACCTTATTTAAAATGTTTTCGTTGAAAAATTACAAAAACAAGCTTATATTGTTGGCACACACCTGTAATTCCAGCACTCAAGAGACTGAGGCAGGAGGATCCCTAGCAGGCCAGCCCAGACTACAGAGTAAGTTTCATGACAGCATAAGCTACACAAGAACACAGCTCTATTCCAAAATCATAATAAATGTAATTACAAATATAAAAAGTTCAAAAAAGAATTTTCAAGTATTCTTGCATATATAATGCATAACAATGTCAAGGTTTAAAAAAGTAATTTTAAGTTGAAATTATTCACTCATCATAACAGAAAACCTAACTATACAGGACAAGATTAATATGAATAACGATTTCATCATTTTTTGTAGTAATAACTTTTAAAAGCCAAAAGAAAACATGCAACTGCAAATATACAGAACACAAACAAAACACTACACCTACATTCATCCAAAGTTGTCACATTCAAATGACACTTTAAAATTAGATCCTCAAGCTGCAAATACTGGGGTCATCTCTGTTTTGTAAAAAGTGATCATTAAACAAACCAAGATTTCATATTGACAAAAGGAACAAAAGTCAATTTTTAACTACTTCTCAAATGTAACTGATTCTAGCCATACATTCTGGAAAACTAGTAATTCATGAAGATACTTTAAAAAATGTTTTGGACAACCATTTTTAGGTTGTCCAGTAAACTGAACCTTATGTTAAATGTTTTCGTTGAAAACAGAGCCATCTCCACGCCCTATGCCGTCTTTCCTGGACTCTTCCACGTTTGGCTGTTCCACCTTTCTCCTAAGTGAATATATAACCTAATACAATGGGTTCCTACCATAGACAAATGCAGTAGCTGCCTAGAAATTCAGTTCTACTAAAAAATAATGACCGTGGTTGACCAAATATGGGACACATGTCTACAATGATGATTTGAGACAACTGTCAATGTATTGCATATTAAGTCCTTGCTCTATATCCCTTTCTGGACACACTAAAAGTGTGATGATTTCTATTAATAACAGAAACTAATTGATAAAGATACCCAGGCATTAGTGTTTAATTTCTACCTGTAAATTTCACAATTACAACCCATCAATGCTTTTAACCAAAATATATCACACTGGTGAAAGGAGTTTTATTTTCATAACATTGTGTTTGATGAAGACATGAGAGGATTCAAGCTTTAACTTTATGGGTAAACATTTTTTTTTCCGGCTTTCTAGAAATAAACAGTAAACACCACTACTGTAAAAACCTGGCCCTAAAGAGAGTCAGTTATCTCTAATCTAAGTGTAGATTCCCAGGAAATCCCAAACAAGGGGCGGCCCCGCCTGGGCATCAGGGCTGTCATTGCCACCAGCTTAAGCTTCAACTTCAGGCTTCCAAAGGGCCTCACCAGCATCATGGCTGATGCAGACCGATGCGCAGGAGGCGGAGGTGGACAAGGAAGAAGCTGGTTTGTTTACTTGCAGCCTGAGCCGCCTTCGTCGCCGCCGCCGCCAGCAGCGACAGCATCAGTGGATCAGCCAAACCCAGCATCTTCCGCACATTTCTATTCTTAGCACACAACTCCCTAGCGGATCAAAACCCCACTACTATTAAAAACACAGACTTGCACGTTACCCACCTCGCACACGCACACCCGCACCCCATCAGCACCGACCTCTCCCGGGCGCCGGCGGGGTGCGGTGAGGTGGGGCGGGCAGCTGGCGAAGGAAGGAGACCCCGGGGACGCCGGTGCATCCTCTCCCGCACTCCCGCCACATGCGCAGACGGCCCCTCCCCCCAACCCAAACACCGACTCGCCACCGGCTGCGCGCGTTACATAACCTCGCCACCGCCCCCCGCCCCGGCCCGCCGCCCCCTCCCCACGCCGCGCGGCCGGGCGAGGAAAGGCGAAGGGACCGGGCTCGAGCAAAGCAAGAGCCCTAAGGCGCCGGGCCGGGCAACCCGGACACGCAGCACACGGTACCGCTAGGCCGGGAACACCCCCTCCTCGGCCGCCCGCGCACGGCCGCCGTTCCCCCGCCACCACCCCCCCCGAAGCGAGGGGGTGTCGGTGTCACCCACGCCGGGCATCCCCCGGCCTCCACCTCCACACCCAGAGCCCCAAAGCCTCCGGAGGGAGGGAGGGGAAAGCCGGTCCCCCGCCCACGCCCCCGGCGGCCGCGGTGACACCCAGACGCCCCCGCCTCACCCACCCGCGCCGCCGCCGCCCCCTCCCGAGGGAGGCAGGGAGGGAGCCGCGGGGCCCTCGGGGAGTTCGGCGGGGCGGGGAGGGGGGCGAGAGCTGGGGGCGGCGGCTGTTACCTGCAAAGGCGGCGGCGGCAGCCCCGCAGCTGCTCGGGCGGTGGCGGAGGATGGAGCGGGGGGCCGGGGGGAGGAGAGGGGGCGACTCGGGGGTCCCCCTCCCTCCTCCTCCCCTCCTGTCCTCCCCCCCACCCCGCTGAGCCTCTGGCCCCCTTGAAGCCCGGTGCTGCCGGCGGGAGGGGAGACGAAGGCTGCAGGGGAGGGAGGGAGGGAGGGAGCCGGCCGGGCGGGCGGGCCGCGGCGCTGGAGCGGGCGGCGGCGGCGGGAGGAGGGAGGAGGAGGAGGAGGAGGGCGGGCGGCGGCGGCGCGGGGAGGAGGAGGAGGCGGAGACTCTACTTGGGAATCGGATATCGGCTACAGATTCAATTCATCACCAGAAAACACCGCACGGGCGGGGGTTGGGGGCGAGCCGGGTCCAGCTGCCCCGCCGCGGGGCGGAGGCTCCGGGCCGAGCGTGCAGGGCCGAGGACCCCGGACTGCGGCCTCGCCTCGCCTCGGGGACCCGGCAGCCGCCTCCCCGCCCCCTCCTTCCTCCCTCCGGGGGCCGCCGCCGCCGAAGCGTCTTGCCGCCGCCGCCGCCGCCGCCGCGGGGCTTGTTGTTGACTTTGAGGAAAACTCCTGACGTCAGGGGCTGGCTCTCCGCGACTGGCGGGAGCGGCTTCCCCGCGCCCCGGCCCCGCTCGCCGCCGCAGCTCCGCGCGCCAACCGGGCGCCCGTCCCCAGGCTGCCCCGCGCCCCTCAGACCCGCGGCGACCCGCGCCCCTCGGCTTCCTCTCGCGAGAACACCGCCCCGGCAGCCCGCGCCGCGGGGCCAGCGTTCCCGCCGGGAAGTTCTGGGCTTCCCCGGGCCGCGTGGCCCTCGACGGGGTCCCCGAGGCCGGCTTTCCCGGCACACCCACCGCACAGCACCGCCACGCCGCGGGGGTGCGGGCCCAGGCCGGGGAAAGTCGCTTTCACCAGCCCCTGGGCGAGGGGGAGTCGGGGTCGGGCAAACCAGGTGTCTGACCATCCTGGGAGACGTGGCCGTCCATCCCAAGTGCCAGGCACCACAAGTGGGCTTGAGGTCGCAGTGACATCCCGAGTCCCTCAGAATCACCTCGTGAGGGATGTTGGTTTCATTGACTTTGGGGCACTAGCAAGACGTTTCTTGTGAAGTTCATGGCTCAGAGTGAGTACAGTAGAGACTGGTTTTTAGAAAATGACCGTATTTTACCACGTATCACCCACTCCAGGAAGTCATAAAAGTTTACTTTTCCCGATGACTGTTCCATCGCTTCTGGAAGCACCAGGAGAACCGATATTAATCCTAGTGGCCCAAGTCTTGGAAGAACCCGTTATTCTGTCCCATTGCAAGAGTCTGTTTAGTACATTGGACGTGTTCTTGCACCACAGGGTGTCTATGTAGTGCATCATGTCTGTACGTGTGCTGCACAGTTACCAGTGAGCTGGCCGGGTCCCCATCAGGACCAAATCCCTGATAATGATGTCCATCTCCTAATGGACAGCATGGACCCTCGAGTTTCGAAGGCTGGGCTGACAGACTTCAGAGGCTTATAACTCTAACCAGAGAACTGTAGTTTGTCTCTGAATCTTAAAAACCAGAATCAAATAGCTGTAAGAATGTATGTTAAGACTGACTGCTCTGGATTCGGTTTCCAGTAGCCCAGAACCCTTGAGACTCAATAGTGGGCTCTCTCAACAGTTGGCAGCCATGAGCCCCAGCTAGGATTGCAGCCTCTGAGTGTCTGGTGTTGGAACCTGGGGAGGGGCGTGCAGTCCTGGATTTCTAAGGTCCATAGCTGCCATGGCCGCTCTCTCCACCGCCTGTTTCTCACCACCCTCTACCACTTAGGCTGGTCCCTGCTGTTTGGCTGTTGACACTACTTACTGTGGCTTGTTGCCAGCAGAGCTGGAGAGCCTTTTCCTCTTCTGTTACTACTTCTGAGAACTCTACCCATGGCGAACATCCCAGGGAAGTGTGGAAAGACCATGAGAAACCCTTCATTGGGCCTAATATTGCTATAAAAACAAAAACGGATGTCTCCTGACTGGCTCTAAAACACCCCGATTACTCTGGGAGGGGTGAAAATGAAGGGTCGTATTTGTACTAATCACAACACAGCTTCCAGTTCCACCAATCACAGGAAGGCATGTGTGGGCTGCACAGAGGAATCCTGTCTTACCAAAATCCTGTATGCTTCACAGACTTATCTATCCATTGATTCATTTATTCATTAATTCAGTACTTGTTCTATGCTACTTTATAGCAAGTCTTTTGAACAGTTGTCCTTTCTTTTAACATATAGATACTGACAATACCATTTAGCGTGAGAACACTGTGATGGGGGGGTGTCCTTCTGTATGTGTTCCTCTTATTGGTTGATGAATATAACACTGTTCCACCAATAAGGCAGGAAGATAGACGGGACTAGGAGATAAGGAGAATTCTGGGAAAGGTAGGCAGAACCGGCCAGAGTCATGATGCTGCCTGAGGAATAACACCATGTCGGGCACTCTGAGTAAGCCAATACATAGATTGATAAAAATGGGTTAATAATTAGGACAGAGCTAGCCAATAAGAAGCCCAATCCACCAGCCAACAGTATTTTAACTAATATAGCGTCTGTGTGTTCATTTGGCGTTCAAGGGCTGAGGGACCTGCTGGGCCAGAAAATTCATACTTACAACACTCCTGAAGAATTACTAAACTGGTAATATGTGGCTCAGTTATAAATAATCTTCTAGGGTGCACTAGGGCCCAGGTTCAATACCCAACAAAACAAAACTGTTCACCAAGGTTGGTCTTGCCTATAATACTAATTTTCCAAGGCTGGTAGATGTTATCTAAAACAATTATGGTGACTGGGGAAAGACCTGTGAATCAGGAGTCATGGGCTTTCTCCTTTCTCCATAGTTCCTAAAAGTCATGGTATGGAGAAATAAGCCCTAATTCTACTCGGTTTGTCCAAAAAGGAAAACATTCCCACAATTATCACATCTCTAACATTAGCTGTTAGCAAAATGAATGGGTTTCAGGTTTCATGGTGTATAAAACAAAAATGTCAGATTTTTGTCTTACATCAGCCCAAGACACTTTGTTTTTTAAGAAAATGGTCTTAAAAAACCATTAGGGGATGGAGAGATGGTTTCATGTTGAGAGTACGTCCCTCCTCCTCCATACTCATGTCAAGCAGCTCACAATGCCTGTAACTCCAGTTCCACATACAGACACACATATGCATAAATAAAAATATGTTTAAAATAAAATAGTCTTTATAATAATGTCAAGCTCTTACTGTTAGTATTCAGGCATCTGCACTGGCCTGTCCTAGGGGTTCTGACAGGACACGCCCTCAGCTGCAGCCACTAAGAGCATCACCTGTGCACATCACTATGTTCCCTTTTAAAAGGGCCCTGCCCACCTCCCATCCTCCCTCTCTCTCTTTCTTTCTCTCCCTCCCTCCATCTTTTCCTCCTTCCCCCTCTGTCTCTCCATCGCCTCCCTCTTTCCTCTCTCCTGCTGCTCAGGTCTCCTCCCCCGCCCCAATCATCTTTCCCCTTTTTTATGATCCCTTTCCCTCTGCTTGAACCCTGTCGCATGGCATCTGTCTTTCATGCACTGACTTTTCTTAAATCACAACACTTACCCCGACTGCCACCGCCAGTGCCTTGAACATTTGGACAGGCACTCTTAACTGTGTCCTTGTACTTGCTCGTGCGTACTGCTCTTCTCCTTCCCCTCACTCCCCTCCTATCTTCCCATGCCTTTATTCTATTATTATTGGGGGAGGGAGGTCAAAACAAGGCTTATCTGTGTAACCACTCTGACTGTCCTGAAACTTGCTTTATAGACCAGACTGGCCTCGAACAGAATTATGCCTGCCTCTGCCTCCCAAGTGCTAGGATTAAAGGTGTGTGCCACTACTACCCAGTTTGTAACGGCATTTTCTTTAAAGGTTATTTCATTGTAAGCTTTGCTCTTTACTGCTATCCCATTTGATAGTGAACCAGTTATTGTAAATTCACCATCACAATTGTTTGTGGGGTTGTTTTAATGAACATACAAAATAGTAGATTTTGTTATATCTTCATACATACAAATCAGGTATTTTGTTCATAGTCATTCATCCATTACCCTCTCTTGTTCTACCCCTCTTTTACTTTAAATATTCAATGTTCAAATATATATTTGAATCTAGCTTCCATATATGAGAGAAAGCACCTATCTTTATGTGTCTCGCTTATTTCTCTTAACACAATGCCTTCTGGCTGCACTCATTTTTCTACAAATAATGTTTGTTCTTTATAGCTGAGTATAAATCCATTGTATATACACACCACATTTTCTTCATTAATTCTCTAACAGAAAACAAGGGACATTCCATGCCTTGGCTGTTGTGAACAATGATGCAATAAATATATATGTGCAGGTATTTGTCATACAATTAGGAGTCATAAGGGTGGATCATACAGTAGTTCTATTTTTAGTGTTTTTAGGAACTGCCATACTAATTTCTGTGTATACTTCCCCTCTTCATCCTCACCAGCATTGGTAGTTGTTTGATTTCTTTGGAGGCGGTGGTGTGTACATGGTTCATATTTCCTTGAGACAGGTTCTAACTGAACTTGATATCAGCAGTCTCCATGTCTTCACCCCAGTTAGTGCTGGAGTAAGGCACATGAGACCACACAGTATGCAACTAGGGATGTGAACTCAGGTTTTCATACTTACCTTGCAGATGCTCTTTCTTACCCACTGAGCCATCTCTCCAGCCTCTGCTTGCCTGCTTGATGATAGCCATTCTGACCACAGTGAAATGAACCTCAACTACATTCACCTGGTAGCTAAGGACATGGAACATTTTTCATGCATTTATTGATCATTTGTACTTTTGGGAGCTCTCTGTTCAATTAATCTGAACATTTAGGGTGCAGATGATTGGATGATTTGGTTATTGTTTAATTTTGCATTCTTTATATAACCTAGATATTAACCACATATTGTATGCATAACTGGCAACTATTTTCTCTCATCTTGAGCCTCTTTTTTAAGGGCCTGATACCATTATTGAGGGTTCCAACTCTAGTGTTGAATTAACTTCAAAAATCCTATCTGCTAATACAATCACTATAGGGATT